TACAGGCAATCATAATTTGTCCCATATTATCTTTGTCCCAAACAAGACATGGATGTCGAAGAAATGCAAAACGAGCTTGTAGAACTCCAAATGCTCGCTCAACATCTTTTCTGACACCCTCTTGATGTTCGGCAAATAACTTATGCTTTTGGATTTGGGGAGACGTAATTGACTTGACAAATGCAGCCCATGAAGGATATATCCCATCAGTGAGATAATATGCCCTATCATTTTCACGACCATTCACGACATATGTAACTTTTGGTGCTCGACCTGCTAATATATCATCAAAAATAGGAGATCGGTGAARTACATTAATATCATTTAACGAACCTGGTGTTCCAAAGAAAGCGTGCCATATCCATAAATCAAATGATGCGACGGCTTCCAAAATGATTGTTGGTTTTCCACTTCTTCCAGCATATTGTCATGCCCATGTGCTGGGACAAATTTTCCATTGCCAATGCATGCAGTCAATACTACCTACCATACCCGGAAAGCCACGTTGATCCCCAACATGTAGTAGTCTTGCCAAATCATCTTTGGTAGGCTTTCTAAGGTACTCGTCACCAAAACATAAGATGACACCATTTACGAAGTTGATGAGAGCTTCCCTTGTTGTGGATCCACTCATTCTCAAATATTCGTCAACTACATCAACTGATGTCCCATAAGCCAACACCCTCATGGCTCCAGTACATTTTTGCAATGGTGAAAGACTTTGTCTACCCGAGGCATCAGGTCTTCGTTGAAAATATACGTCATTAGCAGTAACAGCATCCACTATACGATGAAATAAAGGTCTTCTCATTCGAAATCTTCTTCGGAAGATAACATCATCATTCGTTGGATTCTCAACAAAATAGTCTTCCATCAAACGTGCTTCACCCATCTCACGTTGCCTGTCACGATATATTCTTCTTGCTCTTGGAGGTTGATCTCTTATGAACATATTAGATGAGTTTATCACCATATCCTCGACCATGCGATCAAGTTGTTGGTTTTGTTTAGCAACTCGTGATTGCCATTTATCAAAAACGTCAGCTGAATCTGATGAAGAGTTTTCACTATGAGACATTTTAGTAAGATTTGTGAGAAAACTTTGAGAATGGTTGTATGAATTAGTATATGGTGAAAGAACAAATATATAAGGAAAATTTGAATCATMAKKRGGRGACAATGDCATGTGAACTTTAAGTTGATAGAGACAACACATAATGAGGAGACAATGRCATGTGAACTTTAWKTRAAAGARRCAAMACCATTATAAATAGACATGACATGTGAACCAAAACTAACTTCCAAAGCAACCATAGCCATTCATTTTAATTAAAATTACAAATACATAAAATGTAAACTGCAAAATAAAAATACACGAAATACTAAATTACTAATACATAATACGTAAATTAAAAAAACACACGGAAGAATAAATTACTAATACATAATATCACTATCCATACAACATTGCCAAAAGACGTTCTTTCAACGCCTCCTCTGCTGGTGACAGATGTTCTTTCGCCATCAGTATACGTAGATTTTTGTGGTGTTGATGGACATCAATTTTTCTTTGTCAAAGTTCAGTTTTTTTGTCAAAAGTTCAACTTCATTGTTTCTTGTAATCGTCATTGCATGAAGTTCTGTAGAAAAATCATTAGAAAATGAAGAAGATTATGATGTCTTACCTTTTCCTCTCTTTTTTGCCGCATCTCTACCCGTAGGACGCTGAATCGTTGAACGACCAATAATCGGAGATTCTTGGTCGGTGTCTTCTTCTTCCGTAGTTTTAGACCTTTTCGTGCTTCCACTTCTATCTTCACAACCCATTTCATATTCCGTACGAGAACGTGTAGTGTCACAGTCTAACTTTATTTCCCACTTGGGATGTTTACACATAACTTGGTTGAATACAAGCAAGTCTAAAAACTTTTTCCCACCCCCCTCAAAAATTGCATGAGCTCCTTTCTCAACATCTGCCATACTCATTCCACTTCTTTTTTGACGATATGCTTCTTTGTAAGCAGCAACCCATTTGTTTGCATTTTCGTTAAGTCGCGTCCAACGACCTTTCATTTGATTTTCGTTCCTTTCGCGCATTCCTTCTGGATTTTCTTCTCGAGTTTCATCATAGTATTTTTTTTCACTCGTGAAAATAGCGGTCCCTTCTTTTGGTTTTTGCCACGAGTAGGGTCTTCGCTAACCAAAACCCATGCCGACATTAAAACCATATCTTCTTTAGTGTCCCATGGATGGTCGGTTCTTGAGGTTTTTTGTGAGGTTTGAACATTTTCAGGGATATACTGAGAATTATCAGAATGTTGAGAGTTAATCCAAAAATTTTGCTGGTTTGGATCCATTGAGGAAAACTTGAAAAAAATTGATTTTTCAAGAAAATGAGAGCATTGAAATGAAAGGAAAGATTGGTGTGTTGAAAATATGTCAAGATTGGTCTCTATTTGTAGGGAATTGAAAAATATGAATTTTGGTATATTTTTTGATTTTTGATATTTTTATTAAAGTTATCTTTTTAACCAGATACGTTTTATCCTAAAAAAATTTATAAAACAACCAATTAATGCCTCATTCTAAAATCTATCCAAAAATCTATCCTAAAATCTATTTAATAATAAAATAATGTTGTGAACTTTGTTTGCGTGTGCAAACAGTTTGCACAAACACAGCCACTTCTAATTTCTTTTTTCTTTTTTTCTTTGTCTTATTCATTTTTAGGTTGGTTTGGTTTGTGAATGGAGGTAGTCTTAGGCTTAGCTTACCAAGCATGGTGAGCTCCTCGAACGGAATTTTCAACTGCTACACAAGTCGACGCCTACCCCTGAACCTTTTTTAGTGTTGTTGATCGCCATCAGCTGGACATGGTTGTTCAGCTCAACCTTCAATAAGCGGAAGCTCTCTCTATTGATGATAACAAAGAGAGAAGAAGGCTGTTGAAAAGGATGTTGATGTCGTGGTTGTTGTCGACTGTGAAGAACTTCCTTCCACCTCTGCGTTTCCAAATGCTGGTAATGAAGGAGAGGATGAAGATGAGGATGGTGAGGATCCTCAGATCCCTGACTCAGACCTTGATGATAACGACGACGACGACGATGATGATTTCTTCGTCCAAGTCATCCCAAGACAGCCTGTTAAAGGAATCTCCATCAAGGAACCTGTTTCTTTGTGATAACCGGATCCTGGTTATCACCCAAGGTTAATAATATGTGATTATCTGATTAAATGATTACGTGATAGCATGATAAATTATTACGTTTGATCATGCTGGGATGTGAAAATATGCATAATATGAAATGCATATGTCATATATTTATATGTATGTATGGTATATATATATATATATATATCTATATATATATATACATAATATATGTATGCATGCATGTGTGTGTGCATGTGTGCATAAGTGTATACATGGTGTATGTATACATGCACGTGGCTATGTGAAGTTAGCCGACTTTCCTGATTTGGAAAGTATAAAAGGAGGGCTTAGCCTCCATATTTCTTCTTCTTGCCTTTTAAAAAAAAGTTGTGTGATTTAAAGAGGAGAGGTTGACCGGATTATTCTTGGCTGGAAATTCAAATTTATTTCAAGTGTTTGATTCCAAAAGATTGATAAGGTGAGTAATTTCTAAACTCTTTTGCATAAAATTTCTACTGGTTTTATATGAATCTTGTTTATTGTTGGAATGAATTCAATGAATTTTACTTAAGGGTTTTATCCGGACAAAGCTTGGCCGGATTGTTTTAAATCGGTCAAAGGGTGGACGAGGTATTG